TAGGCATGTTCTCTATTTCTCCTGCTGCCTGTTGAATATTACCCCACCAGCCATCTGATCACTAGTCATCAGGTGGGCAGCTCTTACACGAGGAAGCAAAGCCCTGTCCTCTACCAAGATGGCTGCCTTCACAGGTAGGCACATGGCAGGCATGGCAATTCAGTAATGGGGAAAGATTGGCTCCAGCGAGACCACAAGCAATACCGGTTACTTTTTCTTTTCTCTCTGCTACTTTTTTTGCCACAGCTTCTACAGTTTTAGGTCCTCCTTTTATAATTTCATATTGACGTCTATGTCTGGAATTGCAAATGCAGCATGTACTAGTAAAAATTCTGTGAGGTTTTATATATGTATATAATGATTGCCCTTCATAGTGAGCATAGACATGCATTTGAAAATCCAAGCTTACAATCTATCTGCCAAATGTATACTGAAGGTTTAGTTGAATATGTATGCAGCCCCCATGCCGAGGTGATATATTATTGGTAACAATATGTATTGTGGTATACAAAAAATGGAAAATTATAAATATTTTACTTCTGCATGTTGATTTTTGTGCTGTTTCCTAATTGAAGGATTCCTCCAAATGCTGTTTTTAAGGGGTGCTCAAATTGCCAACATGCTAAAAGACCTATGCAGCTGTTGCTACCAATTTTTCCTTACATTCCCTATCATTAATATGTGAGATTAACTTTCAGTTCAAATCACCTTTTAGCCCTAGATCACTGAAAAGGTGACTTACCAATTTAAATATACTGATTCCGTTACATTCACTGCTTCAAAAAGTACTTGTAACTGAAAACCTTAAACATAATTTCCTTTGCTGCTTTTAGATTGAAAATAATATAAATCTTGTGCATTAATAGTTAAATTCTGGAGAAAAAAATGACACATGCAATACTTTGTTTAGGAAATGTGTTATTAGGCAAGGGGACAGGCAAGGCAGAATGTTTTTGCAAACTGACATCTTAGGCGAAATGCCATACGACAGTGGTGAATGTCTGTTGACAACCACAGTTTGAGCATACTTGCCATTAATGACAAAGGCAGCTGATATGGCACTTTTTAACAAATATGCTTCAGGGATTTAATGGTGGAGGAAACCGCTTAATGATCTTTCCTTATCCTGCAGATGTTCTTCAAGATCTTTAAGGCTATATATAGTAGCAGGTTAAACTATATATGCATATTTATTCATTAAGGAACTGTTAGATGAGACTGCCATCAAGTGATTATCTGTTCAAGGACCTACCTCTTAATTACATATCTTGTTCTAACTATTTTGGTACATACCTAAGACCCAAAGAGCCCCCTATATTGCGTTTAAATGTTTTCCAATTGCATCATAACTAGGGATGCACAGATACCAATGCCGATACTTAGCATTTTCATGAGAACTTTCAGGGTTGCAGCTGCGACTGAGCCCTGGCGCTCCTCAAACTGTCTGTATTGTTTTAGAAAAATGGTCACATGACCGGAATAAAAAATGTATCAGTAATTGTATCTGAGTACGGTACTTGGACAAGTATTGGTACTTCTACAGTTGTGCTCAAAAGTTTGCATACCCTTGGAGAATTGGTAACACATGTACCATTTAAAAAAAAAAAAAACTTTGAGTGAGCAGGCAAAACACATCGCTTGCTCATTCAAGACATGGGATTTATATTTAACTGTAGGACATAACAGAATGTCACAATCGGCAAACAAAACATGGCAACAAAGAAAAAAAATTAAATGACACGTGTTCAAAAGTCTGCATACCCTTAGTTCTTAATACTGTGTATTGCCCTCTTTAGGATCAATGACAGCGTGCAGTCTTTTTTAATAGTAGTCTATGAGGCACCGAATGGTAAAGCTGTCCATTTTGTCTTGACAAAATGCCTTTAGGTCATGCAAAGTCTTTGGTCTCCTTGCATGAACTGCACCTTTTGAGATCTCTGTGACTGTGATGGCCACACCAGAACCTTCACCTTTTTCTGCTGTAACCACTGGAGGATCAACTTGGCCTAGTGCTTAGAGTCATTGTTGTGATGGAAAGTACAAGAGCGTCCAGAGTGCAGCTTTCAGGTTGTGACCATAAAGCTCCATTTTTGGTCTCGTCCCTCCAAATTAGTGTGCCAGAAGCTGTGAGGCGTGTCAAGGTGTTGTTGGGCATATTGTAAACTGGCTTTTTTTGTGGTATTGGTGCAGTAAAGGCCTCTTTCTTGGAACTCGACCATGCAGCTCATTTTTGTTCACATATTGTCATATTGTGCTCCTGGAAACAACCACAGTCTTTTTCCAGAGGAGCCTGTATTTCTCCTGCGGTTACCTGTGGGGTTTCTTTGTATCCCGAACAATTCTTCTGGCAGTTGTGACTGCAATCTTTCTTGGTCTACCTGACCTTGGCTTGCTATCAAGAGATCCCTGAATTTTCCACTTCTTAATAGGTGATTGAACAGTATTGACTGGCAATTTCAAGGCTTTGGATATCTTTTTATATCCTTTTCCATCTTTATGAAGTTCTATTACCTTGTTACGCAGGTCTTTTGACAGTTATTTTCTGCTCCCTATTGCTCAGTATCTAGCCTGCTCAATGCATCCACGTGGGAGCTAACAAACTCCTTGACTGTTTGTTTATAAACATACACTAATTGCAATTTAAAAAGCCACAGATGTGGGAAATTAACCTTTCAATTGCCATTTTAACCTGTATGTGTCACCTTGTGTGTCTGTAACAAGGCCAAACATTCCAGGGTATGTAAACTCTTGATCAGGGCTGAGAGAGAGGGACTATATTTTTGGGGAGATAAATCGGGCCGTTTGAGCAGGTTTATTTTCTTGTCCGTTGAGGGGCACAGTAATTGATACGGTCAGGTTATACAGCCATCTATAGGAGGAATGTAATAATATGACAGGACTAGCTCACTGAATTAATGTAGGTATCACTAAGTATACAGGATGGTGTATTAGAAAAACGACATCCAAAGTGATGTATAATATTCATGCAGACAGTTGCAGTATGAGAAGAATAAAACTGTACAAGCAGTTACCCTAATGGAGCCAGAAAGCAGGCAGCAGAAGACATGAGGTCTCAGGTGTTTTGCATGGGGACCCCTTCACCCGGATTGACCTGGAATCTACTTAGCTATCTGGATCAGCATATCCTCCTCCTCCTCCTCCTTGGAGGCCATACCCAGACCCCACTGGTTTTGGGACGATTGTGGGACTAGCCCAGGATGTGATCTTCAAGCACTGGGCACGCTTCATTGTGGTGCTTTCCAGGTCAAGTGCAATGGCACAACCCCAGGTGTGACCATGTCTTTGAATACTCAGCATGTGAGTAAGGCCATTCACTCTGAAGGGGTATTTCCTATCATTCTACCTTTTTCTTGGTGGGTTTTGATGGATTAGCTGTTTGCTTGATTAAGTTTGTGGGGTTTCTCTCTTATGGAGTTATACCCCTCTAGTGGTGATTCTTTTCTTCCTGGCCTTGAGCATCAGATTGCTTCTTTGGATCTCTACTTTGGTTGTTGTCTGCTCCTCATTCAGGTAAGGTGTTTGGCCTCGTTGGTCCTTCAGGCAGCCCATGGACTCCTGTCAAATCCTCCAGTTGTGTTTTTTTGGGGCCTAAAGTAGGTTGTTTTTCTGTTGCCAATCACTGAGTTCTTCTTTTTGATGTCCTGACAGTCTGAATTCTTGTGCTCCTCAATGGAAAAGAAAGAAAATAGTTTTTTGTACTGGTAGTTTAATCCTTTTCTTGAAGTCCTTTTGAGGGGCTCAGCCCCCATCCCTCTGGTTTTATGTTCATGCTCTTGGCACTGCTGTGCCAGAAAACCGAGGCATATTTGGGAGTAGGATTGTGAGTGGGTTATCCTGGGCTGGCCTACAATTTTCTGTTGGCCAGTGTCCATTCCCCCAGTATATGGTAGCATAACCCAACAGTATCTGACTTCCAGTGTCCCTTAACTGACCCCAAGTAAAGGATTTTACTGTAAGTCGATTATGGTGTACCAGATGTAATTTGTAAACGTGTAACCTTTCATTTTTCGGCATCAGCTATCTAGTTGCTGGAAAGCAACATGCCATATTATTTATTTGTGTTTTTTTTGTTAGTGGCTTGATATGATGCACACTCCTAACTATAGTTTGTGCTACAAAATCACTGTTTTCATTGTGTGTAGATGACTACAAGGTTCCATCAAGGTATAATATAATGCACAGGTAGTCATTTGTTTTACAGAGCTCTGTAATTTAAAGGCAAGCCTCATGTCTTAAGGTGCCCATACACTGCACGATTCTCGTACGAGAATCGCGGGAAATCCCGCGATCGTATGAGAATCGTGCAATGTATATAAGGCATGCGACCGTTTCTACTGTACGGTCGCACGTCTTCCATCAAACCAGCATGTTTGAAAACCCGCCGGGAATCGTACGGTTCTCGGCGAGTTGGTGGCCTGCTGGTTCGACAACTGCCGAACGGGCCGGTGTGCGCACGCGCACACTGCCCGTTTGCAGTCAGTGTAAGCCCGCCCCTCATTAGTCATCGCAAGCCCGTCCCTCAGGGGGCGTGGCTTGCGATGATCGAGAGTGCGATCTGCCCGTCCAAGATGGGCAGATCGTACGTTTTTTTAATCCCTTTACAACCATTGCAAGACTGAGGTCTTGCGATGGTTGTACAGTGTATGGCCACCTTTTATTCTGTTCCAAAAGCAAAACTGAAGAAGTGCAAAACAGTTCAAACTTGTAGGATGTTCCTTGCTTTGAGTATGGGTGGGGCAAACAGTGACTTGTTTTATCCAAATGCACTAAAGATTTTTCATTGGCATTGGAAGTGGAACTTTGCTTAAGCTAGCCATACATGCAGAGATTATTCATTTTCATGTTTTTGGTCCTTACTCTGGCTGAGTGCTGATGCACCTGTTTTGTAATTTTTATTCACTTAATGGTACCAGAACATTTTGTGCACAATTGCCTACATTGGTGTATATTATTTACATTTTCCATTGTGTATTTAACAGCAACAGCGGACCGTATACCGGTTAACCCTAGTGAAAGCATGGAATGTAGATGAACTAAAAGCATATGCTGATCTAGTCACCATCGGCAAACCTGACTTCATTGAGGTTAAGGTAAGTTACTTTTTTCTTCTCACACTCGCACACTCTGTTAGGATACCACTTGCAGGTATCCTGCAAAGTAGGTGTGTCTAGATATGTGACCTTCACAAAGGAGACTAAGTTAAAATAAAGTGAAAAAGCAATAAGGTTTATTTAAAAACACAGGTGGAAAATGTAAGGCAACAACCTAAGCAATACCTGCAAATACATGTGCAAGTACAAACCATCTTACTGACTATATACAGATCAAATATACAGTAGCAGGGCTATGCAGTTAGATACAAAGAGCAGCAGGTATACGGTTCAGGAATAGAGCCTGAATGGGGGTCAGGCTCATGAGGAAGTGGTTGGCATCCGGATCAGAAGAACCAAACGTACATATAATGTATGTTTTGCCAAATGGTCCCTTGCTCTTCTGGAATGTTAATGCACTGATATTCTGGTTTTACCATGTCATTTTGCTGTTTATATTGATGTGATTGGAATTTCAAATTCATGAAAGATAATAAAAATGATTGAACATTTATAATTACAGTAAAATTAAAACAAAAATAATAATTTAACAAATTCATTTAAAAAATAGAAATAGAAGACATAAAAATAATAGATTAGAGGAGAAGGGGATAAAAGAATACATTTGATTAAAAAAAATATTTTTGTAAGGAACTTTCTCTTAGGTCTGTTCCTCTGCTCACTGGGCGGGTGCAATAGCCAGCGTGTTATTACGATCAAATCTCATTAACATATCCTTTTTTTTTTTTTTTAAGTTCTGTTTATTTTTTATTTTTTTTAAGTTCTGTTTATTTAGTTCTGCATAGAATACACGTTAACAGTTCCTCCTACAGCACAACTCTTTGTTCTTCTTTACACTGAAGATATTTCTTAATGACATTAGCTGTATTTTTGAGTTTTTTGTCCTGCTGCAGAATAAATTTGTGGCCAATCACACGCCTCCCTGATGGTATGGCATGATGGATAAGTATTGATCCGGACCCAATCTCCAAATCCATTTGTAGAAATGCAGCCCCAAACTTGCAAGGAACTTCCATGTTTTACCTAAGGGGTGAGCTTCCTTTTTCTCACAATGGAGAAGAATCACAGACATTTGCACTCTGTAGTGATAGTGTATGAGAAACGTATCTATTTAACAAATACCCTGGAGGACTAAAGGTGAGTGAAGGAGGAACAAATACAAAAGAATCCTAGAGGACATGTTGCAGGTGACATTAATTCCAGTCAGTTTGTAAAGCCCAATCACAGGTTGTAGTACATATCCAGATTATTCTTATATTGATGAATCACTCACAAGAATTGGCAAGACATAAACATAACCTTTAGGGCTGTTCACACCCACAGCAGTAACCTGCGTTTTACTGTACTACATCAACATAGGCCACTGCTTGGACACATAGGAAACACTAAAATGCTGTGTTTTAGTCAATGGGTTAGTGTGAATGGCCCTTAATGCTCCCCAACATTTAAACATTTCAGTGGAGAGCAGCCTGCCTTTCTTAAGGGGTAGCTGTTGAAGTATAATTTTAAATTTGCTAAAGCCTTTTTGATTTCTCACAGGCCGCTGTGCAGGTTAAGATCAAGATCTATGCTATTTAGCAATTTCTGTTATAAAAATTAAAACCTAGCCTAAGATCACTGTCAATCCATTTAGAACACAATTTATCAATCGCATCTATTAGAATGTAAATTGTGCATAACCAAGACTTTTTTTTTTCAGAACTGCTTCTCTTCCAATAGCAATGTTTAAATCCGCTTGAAGCAATATGGTGCATTGCAGGAGGTCATCTGCAAGTCAAATGCACCTGTCCATTAACCCCTTTGTGACTGACGTACAGTGTACGTCGCCAGCATCGGGGCTTCAGATGGCAGGACAGCAGGGTTAGTTTTATGTTTATGTTTTAATTTTTTTTCACTTAACATCATTGAGTTGACAAAAGGCATCACAAAGAGGCTATCAAGCCTCTATGTGACAGGATTTAGAGGTGACAGGGGTCTGATTCTCCCCTGCCCTCCAATACAAATGATCAAGCACAGAATTGTGCTTGATGGTCTGTTTTCCCAGCATTTGAGCCGGATCCTGACTCCCTCTGCTGTGGTCTGCCCAGATCACTTGTAGTTTACAAGCTAGCCCTTCCTCACATCATTCATTACTTGGGCACCAGCGGAGGGTAGGTCTGCACTGGGTTATGGCTGGCAGTGGATGCAGTGTCCTCGGAGGCTGGTGTGTCCACTGTTAGTCAGAGATAACCCAGTGCAGGTCGGGATTGCCACCACTTAACCATGTCCAAACTGTGCATTTAGGGAGCCCTGCACTATACCAACTAGGGACAGTAACATTGGGTATGCATGCAGTGTGTAGTTCTGCTGGCAAGAATTACTGGATTCTTTATCGTAATTAGTTGTTTGCATTTGCTATATATTTAAATTGTGCTTTAAAAGAACTACCTTTTTATCTTTTAGAAAAAGATTAGAATACATTTTGAGAGCCATTCAAGCAGAAATTTTGAAAATTTCCTATGGTTCACAAGTTTTATCACAACTGTTGTCTGCACCATTGCTCAAGTCTGTGCCCAAGCTATTGCTGTAGTCATTGTACTGGTATGATTGCGATAAAACAATCTACTGTAGCCACTATAAATCTAGCAGTGAGCAGAGACGGAAGGTCAGTAGTTTCTGAGGGACGTATGGCTGGTGACCACAAAAAACTCGGTTTAGGGCGGTCTTAAATGTAAAATTGGGCATTTCAAAAAATTAAGGTTTTAGATTTTGCAACTATGTGCAAAATGTCCATACCTTTTTAATACACATTAATGTTAATTTTGTGCACCTACACAGTACATCAAAAACAAAGCTGCTCTGTTTATCGGATAGGTCCTTATACATGGAGAAAGTTAATGCTATGGTAATCTCACAGCAAAGACAGTGAAGCATAAATGGACAAACTACTGATTTTTTTTTTCTGCATTAGGAAGTCTTTTGCAGACTCTTGAATAAAACATGGATAAACCTAATGCTTATTTTTCTTTTCCATGGACAGGGCTGTCAGAGGAAATTTAAAAAGAAACAGAGAAATCCAGCTAGCCAGTGTTTATACCGAACTACCTTGCCTTACACCAGTACACAAAGCTTAAAAATACTTATTCTGGATATGCAGTCCTCATTAATGTAACCAAACCAGCGTGTTCTATTCACATAGAAACATTGTGCCAAGATGGCAAAGAGAATTTCAAATCTATTTAACTGTGAACTCTGCTGACTGAATGCCAGCACTTATGGAACAGAACAGCTTGGAGATTAGCAGGATTCAAGCATGGCATTCTATACAGATTCAAGCCTTTATTCTTTAAAAGAAGCATGAGCATGCAAACAAATGTATACTGTTATGATAACATTCGTCATACCCATAGTTGGCTTGCTGCCCAAACTACAGCGTCTTCATTTTTACACTTCTCAACTTCATCTCCTGAAGATATTTATTTGGTAAAATACTAAGGTTTGGAAAGCAGCTGAGATGTGAACAATATTCATATGAAGTGAAATCAATTTTGGAATCAAATGGTGTCATTTACAAATATTAAAGGATCTAATTTTGAAGACTTCTAAAATAATAACCTGGCAAGAATTTTAAACCTTCCCGACTCTTTCCAAAAACAAAAAGTTTTTAGCTATACATATACTTGTGTACCTTAGGGAAATTTGTCCAAAACTTTCTAGTCCATAGACACATCAGAAAGTTTGTGGAAATTTCCCAAAGTGAGAGGAATTTCCCTCTTAGACATTTGTCCCTGGAACAAGTGTACCCATTATATTTCCCCTAACCTCTTATGGAAACCACACTAAAATTTGGGATTTTCCTTTAGTTTCAGTGACAGTGGTCACCAGTGCAAATAGAGGGTGGAATCTCCCCAGTGGTCATTCAGACAGCAATAAACCTGAGCCATCATGTAACTACTGATCGCTCAGCTCAAGGTCTCTTCTCCTTGCAGAAAGCAGTGACTGTTAGCCTATCCCACCTCGACCTAACCACTGAACCTTCACATTCTCAAATAATTCATCCCCACACAGCTACCTCCTCATGTCTCATTTCCCCCTCTTTTAGATTGTAAGCCCTCAGGGGCAGGGTCCTCCTTACCATCTTGTCTTGAATTGTATTGTAATTGTAATGTCTTCCTTATATTGTAAAGCGCTGCGCAAACTGTTGGCGCTATATAAATACTATGTAATAATAATAATAGTCACTTTATCCTGCACGGATTCCTCCATTCCCACTCTGTTCTTCCAGTGCCTCACTGGAAGGACTGATAAGTGGAGGGGGTATGTATGGCTCTGCAGAGGCATAGGCACCTATCACTTGGGCAGTCGGGAGTGGATTCCAACAATATTGTAAGGATCCTACCTGGCTGTTGCACGGCTCTGTGCTGTCAGCAGATAGCGGGCATTACAGAAGTAAATGTATTTCTGTGACCCAAAACAGAAGTAAAACCAGCAAAACTTGCCTTTTCTGAAGGAAAGGACTACACAATATGAACTCCCCTTCAGCAGTGATTACACTGCCTAGGCTTTTTGTTGTGTGAGCAACATCCCCAGAAAAATGAGGCATTCAGTCTCGTTATCCAGTAGAAACTGTTTTTAATATATCAGGACTTTTCGATCTGGTCCTCCTGCTTGCCACTATTTGATCAGCATGGTATCCATCATATTTGTAAATTAATTATGAGACACTGGAAAGGGCAGGCTGACGTTCAGCTTCAGTTGGTGTATTTTCAAAATATTAAAGTGGGTTTTATTTCAGTATTTTTCAAAACTGAGTGTAAACCTTTGCATCTAAAGCTTGTATTGCTTAAAGCTGCGTATTTTGGGGCTCCCAAGCCATTTTAGAGTAAAGTTATGTGCAGTGATGACTAGTTTGAAAAAGTTGACAACTTTTTTAATAGATTATAATCGATTATGTCGATTAGTTGTTGCAGCCCTAGACTAGACCCCTGAATTTAACTGCTTTTGTCAGTTTGTTTATTCTCTGTACAGACAACTAAATAATCGTTTCAGTTTATATAAAAGACCAAAAAAAAAATGAAAGCCTTTCCTGAATGTCATTCTCCTTTCTATGACTTGGGTCTGTTGGTGCCTTGTGCAGACATCTGTGCTCTTTAATTGATTACAAATGACTGGTTATTAGCATATTGTCCATAAATGTACATAGAGTAGTCCATTATCAATGCCACTTCTTGGCATGGGGCAAATTAGGTATTCTTCAGATACTATGGTTTACATAGTGTATTTATAGATTATTTTTGATTGCTTATTTTGTTATTGTTGTTGCAACTTACAGGGTGTGACGTACTGTGGTGAGAGTTCAGCCAGCAATCTAACAATGGCAAATGTCCCTTGGCATGAAGAGGTCATTCATTTTGTACAAGAGTTAACAGATCTGCTCCCAGATTATGAAGTCGCATGTGAACATCAGCACTCAAACTGTATGCTAATTTCTCATAAAAAGGTAATATTTACATTCAGTATTTCATCTATTAGATTGTGTTGTAGCAAAGATGTCTACTTCTTTGTTTGGAGATGTATCTTGTCTTACTTTAAGCCTTTTGTATTAATGAACCTGTCAGGAGTGAAATACGGGAGCGACCATTAGACTTATTTTTTTAGGGTACAGGTAGGTGCATGTTCAGGTCAGTGAGTCACTAAAAAGTTAAAAGATGAGGATGACCATGCCAGTGCATGCAAATTCAACAAGTCAAAGGGTGTGAATACAAATGGTTCCTTGCTGCTCATCTCTGCCATATTACTGACTTGCTTTACTTTGTTCTTCACTGTCTTTCTGTATGGAGGTGGCCATCTTAGTAGATGGAGGCCTTTACATCCTTATGCCCGAGCTGCCCCCTGATAACTGTTGATCTGACTGGTGTGGGAATATGCAGAAACCAGCAGGAAAGGTGCAGAAAGCTCAGGAGCAGCCGAGTAGTTATATCATGAAATCTTACTCCAAATCTCATAAGACTAGCAGTCACAGGGAGAGGTGTATTAGATGATCTCATATTGTAGATACAGTAATGAGGCTCAAGAAACTATAATGATTACCGAGGTAACAATTATAGCTGCTGAGGACTAAAATGGAGCAGTAATTTTAATTAAATTGCAAAACGGCTTGTTGATTTTTGGCATGTACTGCAAAGCATGCATCAGTACGCAGACTGTAACTCTGAAATGCGCATAGAAAGGAGATACCGTTCTTTTTGGACTAACATAATATTTAAGACAAGTTTTCGAGAGTTAACCTCTCCTTCAGGTCAAAAGCAATACTAATCAACACGACAAAGTTTACCACTTAAAGCAAGAGAAAGCATAAATATTGGACCTGGGAGTGAGAAGTGCATACTGATAACCAAAAGACAGAACAATTAAACATAAGATGACCAATAATCCCTGAACAGATCAGAGATGTACGACATACATAGGACATTATGATCTGTATATTCATAAAAAGTTCTGGTACTGTGTCCGAAAACCAGAATCCACATTGAGTCCCTCTTTTATGGTGTTGAAATTTATATTCATTTTCATTTAAAATGTTTTCCTTTTTCATGAGCGTTTTTAAAATCCCCTTTTTGAGTACTTTTAATTTTGAGGTTTTGGATGGGGTGATCTTTCTGGGAGAAGTGATGCACTGAGGTGCCATGTTCATTCTCCTTGTGGTTATTGATTGAGCTCCTGTGTAGGTTCATCGCTGCATCTCAAGATGAACCTACAAAGGAGCTCAATATATGGCACATAAGTCATACAGCAACATTTCAGGGCCACGTAACTGGCCAGTGATGAGTCCAGATGTAAATCCCATAGAGCACCTGTGGAGAGATCTCAAAACAGCAGTTGGGAAAAGGAACCCCTCCAATCTGAGAGACCTGGAGCAGTTGGTGAAAGAAGAGTGGTCCAAAATTCCTGTAGAGAGGTGTAAGAAACATTGATGGTTACAGGAAGCGATTGATTTCAGTTATTTTTTTCCAAGGGCTGTGCTACCAAATATAAATTGAGGGTGACAATCATTTTGGCCAGTCCATCTTTGGAGTTTTGCATGGAATGTGTCAGATTTGGCTTTTTTTTTCTCCACTTTTTTTGTGTCATACCAATATATAAACATGAGAATGCCTAAAGATGACAGAAATGCAGGGTTGCCAATTCTCTGGGCCATGACTGTAAATATATATACACACACACACACACACACACACACACACACACACACACACACACACGTATGTTCTAGGGGTGCCGATACAGAGTATTTGGCAGAGTACTTGCAAGTTCTGTCTCCCAGTTCCTGATTGGCAAGGAAGCCAGGCTGCCTAGGAACAAATGAAGCCGGCTTCCTAGCGAACTAGGTAACCGGGAGGCAGGTCATGAAGTGCCACCCAGCTTCTTGATTGGCTAGGAAGCAGGCTTCACTTGTTGCTATGCAGCCTGGCTTTCTGACCAATCGGGAAGCTGGGCGGCACATCCTGACTTGCCATCCGACTTCCTGATTGGTCAGGCAGGCATGGCAAGTGAAGCCGGTGTTCTTTTGCTAGAACACTGGCTTCACAGGCAATCAGGAAGCTAGGCGACGGGTCATGATCTGCTGCCCGCCTTCTTTGATAATCTGGGCACATGGCACTGGTTCTCGGTATCGGTGAGTACAAAACAAATACAATATCGGTACTCATACTCAAATACTCAATACCGAAAAACCTGTATCGATATATCCGTAGCATGTAGACATGTTCCAACCCCCCTCTGCAAAACACCCCCTCGAACAACAAAGTAACATCTCCCCTCTGCCAAAAACGGTGCTAAAAAGTTATTTCAAATAATCCTGAGGTTCCTGCGGCATGCACAACCTTTATATAGAGGAGTGCAGTGCTCAGCTTCAGTAGGCGGGCACAGACATGGTGTCAATTCGTGGAGAAAACATGCTCCTCAATGTGACTCCAGCTTTGGCATCCTGCCATCCAGTGTAACCCGGGAGGGTGGGGGCTTGTGCACTTTTGTTTTTCAATTCATGACCGTGCACACCCCCGCTCTTACGTCAGGTTGGCAGGGGACATATAGCAGCTTTTGTCAACAGGGTGCCTCAAAATTTTGTGACTGGGGCTTCTAATTTGAAAGAAGGGCTTGCAATATGAAAGGGGACTTGTGATGTAAAGGGTGAACTTTGATGTGAATGGAGGGAACTTCTGATTTTAAAGGGGGACTTTGATTAGTCAGGTATCTGTTTCCAAATTTGCAAGGCCACCACCTGATCCTCTGTTAACACTGTTAAGTTTTACCAGGTGAATGTTTAAGCCTCCTCAAATGCCAGCTTAAGTCATAAAGCACCTTGAGCTGCTCTGTGAGTTGTGGTAGGGTTCGCACCCTCGTTCCATGGGCCTTTTGTCATTTGTTTGCTGGTTTGAATGTTCCATAGTCTAAGAGTCCAATGCACTCCACTATGAGCTTAATTGAAAAGTTGTGAGATCTGCTGGACATCTTTCAACACATCCCATATTACATTGCTACCTGCAAGCAGTAATGTTATATCAAATGCACAGCACTACATATTCATAGGGCATAGTGAATATATGTCACCACAAGGAAGTATATCCAGTGGAATTCTTCAAAGAGTAGGTTAACACACTTCAAGATCATTCTGTTAATAGAGCTAGGCTAGAACTAATGGAAATTAATATATGATTTTGCAAGTTTGACCATAGATATGCTTTAGTAAGCAGAATTCAGCTGGCAGGACAGCTCCTTTTGCATTACATGTTCTCCTGTAAAGAAGGTCTTTTTATTAACAGTGCTGGTCCAATATCGTTTGTGCTAGCCTCTGTAATGAAATCTTTTTTCCTTTTTCTGTTAATTTTAATAAAGTACTTTGGGGTCTATTCACGAAGCTGCCGAAGGATCTGGCCATAGCTTTGGCCGATCCTTCGGCTAGCTTCGGCCCCAGGACCCCTTCGGTTCAGTAGAACCGAAGGGGTGCTGTACGGGCTATTCATAATAGCCCGTACAGCTCCCGATCATGGCCGAGCGGCTCATCGCCGGACAATAGGAAACTATTGGGCGGAGCTAGCTGTCACTGCTAGCTCTGCACTATCGTTTGCTATTTACATCTTTTTTAACTTTTTTTCACTCTTAATTCACTTCAAATCAGTCATTCACTCGGCTGCCCTCGGCAGCTTCGTGAATAGACTCCTTTGTCATCATACAGGCCAGTGTAAATGGTCATGGATGATATCACTGCTGCCAGTACATCTTAAAGCACTGCAAACAAGCCATTGCACATTACTTGTCCTTCAGGGGGAGTTTCCGCATGCTCTACAGTAATGGCCCTATCATTTGGAACCTCTCTTGGTCCAGGTTATATTCGTATTAACCTGTAACTCATATGAAAGAAAAAGCAAAGTGCCCAAGACATTATTAAATGTTATATTTTTTGTAAACTTAAACCCTACAAAGTCATTCATACTAGTCTGATGTGCATCCTCAAGGTTATTTTGTGTTTTTGCTTCATTACCAAACAATTTTTATTTGCACAGCTGTTGACTAAATTTGCCCATTAATTATATGCTTAATTGAAATGATTGACAGCTCATTTAGATCCTTTTGTTTACAGCCAAAGAAGAAAAAATCTAGACACAAATATAATAGGGCTGAGTTGCATTAAAGCAGACTTGGCAACACATAGGGAGGAATTTATCATAGCAACTTGCACGGAATGTATGTGACGCGCTTTGCGCCAGATTTATGTTTGCGAGTGTAATGTTGTTAATGAGGTTAAATAGACTCCAGGAAAGAAGACTCCTAACTCCAGACAAAAAGTTTAACTGTTGCTTTTTTAAGTTGTCATAGGGACGTTTTAAGTAGCGAATGTTTTGTTAGGTGATGCTCCAGTTTCAGACAGCCGCAGAACAAGTGCAGATTTAAAACAGGCGCAAAACACCGGCAATTGGAAAAGTAGTGCAAGCTCAGGTCAAAACAGGGGCACATGTTAAGACAGATTTGCACATTAAAAAAGTGATCGAACTGTCTAAAACTGTCACAATTGCTTTGATAAATTCCCCCATAGAGTAATTAAAGTAATTTTTGTGTATTTCCAGGTATGAATTATCTTTTAAAAGAGATTACAATACTCCCCCCAGACAATGGATTAATCTGCTTTTCTCCCCAGAAGGATGACATTTTTTGCTTTAGTTTTGTTACCCTGTATCTTTACTTGCATTTGTCCTCTGTAGTTTTATAAATACGGAAAAGTGTTTTTGGCACAGCAAATGTATGTGAATACAGCCAAAAGTCTGTGAAGGGGACTGCCCGATCTGGATAAATAAACCTCTTGAGCAAGGGTAGTGAATTTAAATTTATGTAGGTACAGTGAGAAAAATTGTCATTGAGCCGAGGTCCAAATCACAGTCCAGACATAACAGCCTCTCAGTTCATTTCAGAACTGCGGTCATCCATTTAGGCTGTATTCACACC